GTATGTGTGTATGGAAACAAAAATATATGATCAAATAATTAATTATCCTAAATTGTCTTAAATTCTATTTTGCTTTTATTATGTTTTTTTAAATGTGTAGTTGTTTATCCTCGCTTTTTGAGTATTGTTTTCTGTAATGTGTTTTTTTATTCACTTTAATCAAAATAAACCTGTTTTGTTGATGTGAACATTTTGTTAAATTACTAACTTTAATACAACTTGTAGCAAAAAAAATGAAACAAAAGACATTTACCATTCGCTTGGATACATTTCTAATTGTTTCTTGATTTTAATAGGTTGGTAATAATAGTGTTAAGACACTTATGTACCAAAAATAGTACATACTTAGACTATCGATAGCAGCATCAGTCTGCAAAGGTAGATGGTACTGAACTGAAAGAACAATAACCAAACAAGTCTATACTCACACAACAACACACTTCACATTAAGAGGCAGTTTTAACATCTATATCTTATAATTGCTGTCGGAAAAGACACTGGTGGTTCGTTTTTAAGATAAAACAAAGCAGCTGTCCCGCATTAAGTTAGCTAGCTGCGAGCTAGCAATAGCATCGAGATACAAAGAACAATCGACAGTTGCAATCGTAAAAATAAAATGACATTACTTAAAAATCCTGTAAACTAGAGTAGAAATGCCCCATTTGTATGAACCGTCGATAAAACCCAAATACTTGTAAGAAAACGTACCGTTTATAGTCCACGGTTTAGACACCTAGCACAGCTTGCAGCTCGGTTAACATCAACATGAAACGTCACTCAGCCCCGCCTTCTCCAGCTCGAGCTGTCAACAGATGTTTTGGGCCGAACCACAGTTTTCTCTATATTTTACACGAAGGTCAGCGTGTACCGGGTTAAAGAACACGGTCCGGACTTACATTCCCAAAATAGGCATGTATGGCGGTGGCACTTCGGGCACCAACCGGCAGCAGAACATTCCAGGAATACTTTCAAGTCATGTCCGCCTTTAAGACCCGTCGAGAAACACGAGTCTATTCGGTGTTGTATCGAATTTTGTAACCATGTTATCTTGTGACCCGGGGAAGCCCAGATACGTAGTCGACCATGACAAATTCTACCCGCCTTTGTGAAAAATATATTTACTCAAAAAATGTGACCATAAACATTAAAAGCAAAACAATGTTTACTGATATTTTTAGTTTTCTATCATCACTGTACATCATCATTTTTCCATCTTGAGAAAACTTCTCCTCCGTTCTAGAAATTATGTCTTTTTTGATCCAGTGATGCAAATTATTTTCAATATAACAGCAACAAATGAAAAATTAAACTTGAACTGAAAAACATTCCCTTTGCTCATAAATTATGCCAAAACATTTTATAAAGATTATAAATATTTAATCAAACTAGATGTTAAACATCCATCTATCAGTGGCCATTGTGCGAGAGGCGGACACACCTTAAATGTTAATCAGCTTAATCAAATTATTTTTAACTTTCAGAATGAAACAAAGTTACACATATCAAATAAATTGTGCTACACTGCTTTGCATTTATGTTTCGTTCTTTATTAAAACATATAAAATAGCCTTGTAAGTAAAATGATCAACTTTCTTAAATTGTTAATTCAGATTAGTTTAAATGGAAATTTATAAACGTTTAATGATGTGCAAAAATTCTCAAAAAAATACTCATTTAAAGCTATAGAAATTTCATTTCTTGTCAAAAAACAAACCAAAAAATGTTAATGCTGAGCACTGAATGACTAGTTTAAACTGAAATGTTAAAACTAAAGAAGATTTTAATTCAAGCTAAAAGCAAAAAAAAAAAAAAGAAATTCAGTTTATTTATATAGCTCCAAGTCACAACAGAAGTCGTCTCAGGGCACTGAACAAAAACATCCACATATATTAATAACAAGATAATTAGTAAAAGTATCTAAGGAAGCCAGCAGATTGACTTTGTCGCAGTCTCCCATCCTGAGCAAGCACAATGGTAACAGTGGAAAGGAAAAACTCCCTTTTAACAGGAAGAAACCTCCATCAGAAACAGGCTCAGGACGAGCGGCCATCTACTTCGACCAGCTGGGGTTTGAGAGGACAGGAAGGAAAAAGACACAGAATGACAGGTCCAGGTGTACTTTCTATTGGAAAAACTAAAAATGTTATGGATAGAAATAATTACAAATACAGAGTAGAGCAAGTAAAGACAGTATGTGAGGAAATGTGGTCAATTTGTCCTCCAGCAGTCTAAGCTTATAGCAGCATAACTAAGGGATAGCTCAGAAAATCCAAGCTGGCCCTAGCTACAGGATTTATCAAAAAGGAAAGTCTTAAGCCCAGCCTTAAAACTGACAATGTGTCAGCCTCACAGACAGGAACTGGAAGTTGGATCCACAAGAGAGGAGCCTGATAACTGAAAGATCTTCCTCCCATTTTGCTTTTGGAAACTCTAGGAGCCACAAGTAAACCTGCAGTCTGAGAGCGAAGTGCTCCATTAAGAAAGTATGGAACAACAATCTCTAATAAGTTGGAGCTAGGTTGTTGAGGACTTTTTAGGTTAGAAGTAAGATTTTGAATTAAATACTGGACTTGACAGGGAGCCAATGGAGAGAAGCTAAAACTGGAGAGAGATCTCTCCTAACTCATTAAAACTCTGGCAGCAGCCATTTGGATTAACTGGAGACTTATTAAAGACATATTTGGACACCCAGATAATAAATCATTGCAATAGTCCAAACTGGATGTGATAAATGAATGGACCAGTTTTTCTGCATCATTTTTGGACAAGATGTTTCTAATTTTAGCGATGTTACACAGGTGGAGGAAACTGGTCCTGGTAGCTTTTGTAATGTGGGGGTTAAAGACAAATCCTGATCACAAATAATGCCAAGGTTTTTAACATTAGAACTGGAGGCCAAGTTAATGTCATCCAGAGGAAATGAAAGGCTACAAAATGTATTCCTAAAATTTGTTAGTTGCTAGTGAAAAGCCAAAAGAAGCTAAAGTGTAGGTTAAAAAAATAGCTAAATAGTAGCAATAAGTTTAAAGCAGCAAAAGGCTCGCTGAAAGCAACAAGCCACTTGCAAAAAGCAGACAAAGGACAGAAAAATAGCAACTAAAATGTAAATACCAAAAGGCAGCTAAAAGCAGAACTCTAGCCAAATGCCAAAAGTAGTATAAGCCAAAATGACAGCACATTTAAAGCTCATTTTCAAAAAAAAAAAAAATGTTTTTGAAGAAACTAAAGATCTCCCCTTGGGAGAATTATTTTGTAAATAAACTACAAATTAAGAAAATTCTAAATATTACAATAAACAAAACTTGTAGCACATCTCGTCAATGAGCTGAACATTATGATGTATGAAGCATCTATAACAGCATAACATCTATAACAGCAGCATCTATAGCATCTCTTAATGAAATGAGGATAATGAGTTACAACAACAAAATAATTTCCCTCTGGGATTAATAAAGTGTTTTTGAATTTGAATTGAATGACTCCATAGTTCCAAGTATGAAAAGTAGTTCAGATTGCAGTAAACATATGAACACGATACTGGGAATGCCAAAATCAGCATTCACACAATCAACTAAAAAACGTGAGATGTGAACATAAACACAAGAAAAGTGACACTGGAAAGCCAAATCAAAATAATTTATTTTTGGTGACATTTCATACAGTTCTAAGATTGTGTCTCAAACACTTGGTTGATCCATTACTACATTTCCTGTTGCCACCCCAACCCAAATTAACAGAAACTAAACCCAAACAAATATTGCAAGGGGAAAAGCCATTTCTGTAGATATTTGCAAGCCTGTCAGCATCAACCATATGCTTCTAAAATTATTTCACATTACTCATGAGTACGATTTTTTTTCTCTTTAAACAAGTTAGTGCATTTTTTTTAATGATACTAAAATCACTAGCTGCTCATACTCAAAATGAAAAAAATAAAACAGCCCCAGTGATTGGATCCTCGTTTACTGCATTATCAAACCCAAAGCAAATGCAAGTATTTTCTCTCAGCTGACATCTCCATCGGTGTATAGAGGTCATGTGTGTGATTTTATTCTGCCAATGCGATTTCACACAACTTTGGGGAAACCAGCCTACCAAGAATTGGGAGAAAAGCGTTGTGCATTAGAATTAAAATAAATAAAATTTAAAAAGCAACACATACAGCGAGTCAAAACTTCAAATTCTAAGTCAACCTGTTGTTCAAAAATTAAAAAGGAAACAAAAACAAAACCAGAAAACTCACCCTAAAGCACAAAAACAATCTGATGAATACCTGCAGTCAAAAGCGTCCCTCTGTAAATTTAGTACTAGAACAATTACATTCTCCCACACATTTCTAGTGAAGGGTTATTACAATATAGCATAGGCAACTAAACCTCTACAGCTTCTCAAAAATCCAGTTTCACTGAGCAAAACATTTCCCAAACACTAAATCTTTTAGCAGAGCTCGTCGATACAAATCAAAACTTTATTCTAGAACTCTATGATCGCAGGCAGCTGGCACATAGCATGAGAAATCTTTTCCTTTATACTCGCGTGGCTGCCAGATACTGTGAATCTATCATCCGTAACAGCACACCTCAGTCTATTATTTTGAAATTATGTCTCCGTTATGAACAATTCACAGATATAAGCTTAACCTGGATATCCTGCGATAATGTAGAAAAGCCAAACCTCACCTGAAACACCAGGCACAATGAACAGTCAAATCGTAGCATCAACATGTACATTTTTCTTACCCCTCTGGAGCAGATTCCCACACCCACTACCCAAACATGTAAACAGAAAACCTGACTGATCATCAACAAGTGACAAAGTTCTGAATCCATTGCAATAGGTAGACCTAATACGGTTCTGATAAACGGAGATGAAACGCAACATGAAAAACTTTGGACCAGGCTAACAAGGTTCACCATGGCTAACAGGCCAGTGAGCACCCCAGAGTGTTTCGGCTCCAAACAAAACCACACAGATGACTGTGGCGTACATCAATGGTTTCCGATGTCCGATCGCAAGTCATAATCAACACACCACCATAGAATACATTTCATTAATATACATTAGAAGACCGCACTGTCCTCCTTCAGGACAATGAACCAGAATCTCTGCTGTAAAAATCAAAATGATCAGTTTCATTATAACAGTGCGCTGTAGCACTTCAATCATTTTGCCGAACAATCAATACGAACAAAGACATCAGTCAACCCTTCAGTCATACTTGCAAACCTAAGCAAACAAGGGAAAAAAAACTGATGTCCCATTGCGTGTTAGTGATATCTTTGTATATGTACATGACATATGCATGTTCTTTTCATCTTAGTGCATATTGTTCTTGAAGACCAACATCTATTAAAAACACAGGTAGAGGGCCTTGTATGTGGCCCAGAATCCCACCCTTCCCTTGTCGAGCAGAAATGAACGGCCTCCAGATAAATCACATTTTCTTTTCTTTCTTTCTCGCCCTCTTTTTTTTTTTTTTTTAAGTATTATACTGGAGGTCAAAACCAAAAATGTTTGCTTCCTTTTCAAATTGCTCATCAAAGTTCCTCAGGTGTCATTTTGTCCTCAAGTCCTGGGTGTCAGTCATTTTAAAAGCCTTTCTTTGGACAAGTTCCAGGAGGGGAGGTGGCTACCATAATGTTGTTGCTTTTATCTTATTCGCTTTATATAATTATATATATATCCATGTATATATATTTATATATTTATTCACACATCTTTTTTCTTTTCATGTCAAGTTTTTACTTTGGCGATACAGGTGGGATGTTCTGCTCTTTGCCAGTGTGCCTGTAGCCTCCCTGTGGGGAGCTGCGTCGGTTCGGAGGAGGGCGCCGCTGCTCACGAAACTTGAGCCCCCCCGTGCCTCTGGGACCGTTGCTGCGGTAGTAGCCTCCTTGAGAGTCGCGCTCACGTGGCGGCCGGCTCTCCTTGCACTGCCATCCTCCCTCCTTGTCGTGACCTCTCTCTTGCTTGTCTGCAGGACTGCTGCTGGAGCCCGGCTCCTCCGCCTTGTTCACGCGCAGCTCACGTAACGGCTGGCCTGACGCTGTGCTGGAGGAAGATGGAGCAGGGGGGGCAGGGGGAGGGTCTTTGGGTGGCCGTTGGCACACTTCGGCATAGCTGAGTTTACGAGGCTCCTGAGAAAAGATACACGTTTAAAACTCCTAATAGGCAACAGATTTAAATATGACATACATTCATTGAGTAAAACCTCAGATCTCATAATCTTGATGCTCACTGGGGCGGGAGTGAAAATTCTGGACTTATGGTGGGAAAGTACAGAGACAGAAAAAAATACAGCAAAGAGAGAGATAGGTGTGAGAAAAGAATGAAAGAAAGCATAAGCCAGTCAGTTCACTCCCTCAGTTCCCTCTATGCACAGAAGTTATCATCATAGGTAAGGAAATGATGCTCAAGCGTTGCCTGTTAAAAGAATGAGACGTACCTGTGCTGGCGTGGTGATCGAAACTGGAGCTGGGGTTGGCGTGCTGGGTGTGGCGGCAGCAGAGGGTTGAGGTTGTGAGGTTTGCACAGGCTGTGAGGAGGAGGAAGTAGTTACTGTGGCTTGAATCGGTGTACGTGGAGCTGTTTTTGAAGCAGGTGGTTCTGCCCGCTCTGCCCTCTTCTCTGAATAAGTGATTCTGTCAGAAAAAAAAAAAAAAAAGTTTCAGACATTAAAATATTGGTCTCAAACGAAAACAATCAAACCTATAATCATTGGGAGCATCATACCGGGAGGACAGATGTCCGAGTGGTTGAGTAACGGGTTTTGGAGCGGTCAAGGCAGGAGCTGAGACAACCACAGCCTCCTCTGATGCAGAGGCTTGGTCTGAACCTGCACTCACAGTGGCTTCTTTAGGAGTTTGTTCAGTCTATTAAAAAAAAAAAAGTCACATTGTAGCCGAGGGTCTGATATCAACAATACGGTCGATTAGACAGAACATTTTTAGATCAGTTAACATTTCTTACCTTATACAAACCACGGACGACATCGGACATTCGGGTTTCAAGCACTGGCTCTCCCTGCGTGCTGACCACACAGCCAGGAAGAGGGGGGAAGTTAGTGGCAGCCAAGTCAAACTTGGGTGGGGAAACCTTGACCTCAGCTAAAGGTACTGGTCTCTGCAAACAAAGAAATAAAGAAATAAATGTAGCAAACTAAAGAATGATATTACAAGATAATTCATGCTCCATGTACAACAAGTTTTACGTTGGTTACCGTGAGTCGCTCATCCTCTCGCCGCCTTCGTGTTCCTCTGTAGGTTGCGCTCCGTCTGAAACACAAAAATAAATAAAAAGTTGTTAATAACTTGAGTGTAAGTGTTTATGAATGCAGTCTTTTGCCATAAATACCATTACCCATCAGAGGTAAACCTTTGTTGAACTGTCTTATGGGTTGGTGGGACTGCTTAAAGTGCAATGACAATGAATTCTAGAAAATGAATATGAATATGTACATGTACTGACACCGTCTCCACTATCAGAAATGTTAAAAGCTACCCAAACAGAAAACCTTGGCTGAATGCAGAGGTGCGTACCCTGCTGGAAGCCAGGAACACTGCCTTCAGGTCTGGAAACTCAGAGGAGCTGAGTAGGACAAGAAAAGAGCTGGTTGCTGGTATTAAGAGGGCCAAGGCCGCATATGCAAAGAGGATCGAGGGTCAATTCATCTCACAAGACCCTCGGAGCATGTGGAGGGGCATTAAGTGCATAACAGATTATAAAGGAAGGAGCGAACAATGTCCCAAAGACCCATCTCTGCCTGATGCCCTCAACAAGTTCTATGCACGCTTTGAAGACCCGAACAGACCACCCAGCACCAGACTCACCTCGCCACCGGATGAAGAGCATCTCAGCGTGACCTCAGCAGAAGTAAGGAGTACCTTCAGGAGGATTAATCCGCACAAAGCAACTGGCCCAGACAACATCCCCGGAAAAGTGTTGAAGGAATGTGCTGATCAGCTCTGTGAGGTGCTGGCAGACATCTTTAACACCTCACTTACCCTGGAGACAGTTCCCACCTGCCTGAAGACTGCCACCATCATCCCAGTCCCAAAAAGCTCTACAGTGACTGGTCTGAATGACTATCGGCCAGTGGCCCTCACCCCAATAGTCGCTAAATGCTTCGAAAAACTGGTCATGACTCACATCAAAACAACCATCAACATCAACGAGGACCCTCATCAGTACGCATACCGTGAGAACCGATCAACAGAGGATGCAATCTCCTCTGTGGTCCACACTGCGCTCAACCACCTGGAGCAGAAAAACTCTTACGTCCGTATGCTCTTTGTGGACTTCACATCCGCCTTCAACACCATGATCCCCCAAACCCTGATGGACAAACTATCCACACTAGGACTAAGCCCCTCCATCTGCAACTGGGTACTAGACTTTTTAACAAACAGACCACAGTTAGTGAGGATCCACAACCTCTCCTCCTCCACCATAACCCTCAGCACTGGCTCTCCTCAGGGATGTGTGTTGAGCCCCCTTCTGTTTACTCTGCTCACATATGATTGTGCAGCTACCCATCCAGGCTGTCACATTGTAAAGTTTGCAGATGATACAGCGGTGGTGGGATGCATCACAAACAATGATGAGTCCAGCTACAGGCAAGAGGTGGAACACCTGGAGAGCTGGTGCAGAGAGAATAACCTTCACATCAATGTGAAGAAGACAAAGGAGATGATTGTGGACTTCAGAAGGAACAAAAACACCTACACCCCCCTGAACATAAGAGGATCTGCGGTGGAAGTGGTCTCCA